TCACTCCTAAGTATATACCCAAAAGCAATGAAAAGGTATATTTGCACAAAAAATTGCACAATATTTATAGCAGCATTATTCCTAATAGTCAAAAAAAAACAAACAACCCAAATGCCCATCCACTGATACATGGATGAACAAAATGTGGAATACCTATACAATTAAATACTCAGCCATAAAAATGAATGTGAAGTATTTACATATGCTACAACAAAGCATGAAACTTGAAAACATGCTAGGTGAAAGCTAGATACAAAAGGCCCCATACTGTATGACTTCACTTATATGAACCATCCAGAATAAACAAATCCATATAGACAGCAAGAAAATTAACCATTAAGGTCAGGAGGGAGGGAAATACTGGGAGTGCTTGCTAATGGATATGGGGTTTCTTTTTTTGGGTGATAGACATGCTCTTAAATTAGGTAGTGGTGGTAGTTACTACACATATATTTACATGTAAAAAAATATATATATATATATACTACACTGAATTGCACACTTAATTAGTAAATTTTATAGTATATAAATTATATCTTTAAAAAAATCCAGAGCTTTTTAGTGGTAGAGGTCAAAGGTATGGCAAACTCCACTTTCCTTCTGCAAAGAAAATTAAAGTTATCTTTTTCTATAATAAATTCTAGCACCTAGAACAGTGCCCTGCACTTGGTTAAGTAAGTACTCAGTAAGTTTGTTGAATGATCACCATAGACGTAAGGGGAAATAAGCATGAGAAACTGAGAGTTGGAAGGTATTTTAAAAATGAAATCTTGTAATTTGAGAAGGGCTATTCGTTTTAACCATATATAAAAGGAAAATTGTTGTTATTGGAAAAACCAGAAACTTTATTGCTGATGTCAGGTTAAGCAAATCCTGCCTGAAAAAGCACTGCTTTGCCTTCATTTTGTATCACCCATAATCCCTCTAAGAATCTGACTCACAGGTTCTCATTCCAGAGAAATCTTGTAAGATGGCCTCCCCTATCTCTTCCTTAGACTCTTCTCTCCCACAGAATCCCAATGACACTAGGTTCTTTCCTATCCCTGGGTTTGGAGGGAGCTTAACAAAAGTGATGGACAGAAAAGCAACCAATCTTTCTCAAGGAAAGCAGCCTTCTTTCCATGCCACTTCCTCTAATATCACTGAGAATGATATACAGGAAAAATGAAGAGACCAGGAAAAGTCGGAAATCTGATTCCTGTTAAGAATGGGAACCAGCAGGTCCAGGATAAGGGGACCCAGCCCTCCCCCAACAGAGGTGAACACCTTCTGAGCACCAGTAAGTGGCATACACTGGGAGGCCACACAATGGCAAAACCTATGCCAAGGAACATGTCTAGTCAGGGAACAGAGATGTAATTAACTAGAAAGCCATGAAGTACTAGAGACAGAAGCAATTTGCTGACTGCGTAAGTGATTCATTCAGACTAGAGAATCGATTCCCAGCTGCAGTACTGTCTTGTATGTCTTATTCTGACAGAGATGAGATGCGCATTAGGCTAGAGCAACAGGGTGAGCAATACATGAAAAAGCAAAATTCAACTGGAATGCACTGTGAATCAAATGTAGGGCAGGCTATGACCAGGAAATGTAATCAGGAGCAAACTGGGAAAGGCCTCAGTTCCACACCTCAGTTGGTACTTGCTGGTGGCAGCACTGGGGACCTTTCTGGAAACCTGAACAGTTCGGAGCCAGAGATGTACCATACCACTGCAGTGAAGACTGGGAACTGCTCAAGCAGTTAAAAGCAGAATGGAGAAGGGAATGGAGAGGATATTGAGAACTGAGTGAACATACAAAATTAAAAACAAGGATAAAAAAAGAAAAATGACATTCTAAGACCCAACAAATCTACAGGTATTTTCTTAGTCATTCAGTGCCCCCTGGTGGACAGATGAGACCTTCCCAGCATACCAGCACCAACCCACTTGGCACATTTCATTCAAGCAAAAAGTTAATGTTGAAAACTTTATCCAGCCTCTTGCTCACCAGGCTCTGCATAATTCTCCACATTCAGATTACAAGGCACTGTTCTAGTTTAAGCTAGTTATGAGAAAGCACAAAATGACAGAGCAGGAGGTAGTACAATAAATGACCAAATGTTCAACGAAGTGGTCAATACTAATTCGAGAATTCGGAATACCAAGCCATTTGAGAGGTGAGTTAAGATTGCCTGGATATAGAAATGAGTCATTTCTTTAACCTAAGATCATTGAAAAGAGCATCTAAAGTCAGTGGCAATCATAAATAAAACACTGGAAACCTAAGTGCACAGTAAAGTATACAAAGGTTCTATTTAGAAATCCTGTAATGGATAAGGCTTGAGTGGGACGAACCCACTCTAAAACCAATCTGACATTAGAATACAAAATGGGTGTAAGAGAATGAAACTGGATCACTGTCTAACCCCATACACAAAAGTAAACTCGAAATGGATCAAAGACTTGAATGTAAGTCATGAAACCATAAAACTCTTACAAAAAAACATAGGCAAAAATCTCTTAAGACATAAACATGAGTGACCTCTTCTTGAACATATCTCCCGGGCAAGGGAAACAAAAGCAAAAATGAACAAGTGGGATTATATCAAGAAAAACTTCTGTACAGCAAAGGACAAAAAAAAAGCTTCTGTACCATCAATAGAACCAAAAGGTTATCCTACAGTATGGGAGAATATATTCATAAATGACAGATCCAATAAAGGGTTGACATCCAAAATATATAAAGAACTCACACATGTAAACATACAAAAAGCAAATAATCCAATTAAAAAATGGGCAGAGGAGCTGAATAGACAGTTCTCTAAAGAAATTCAGATGGCCAACAGACACATGAAAAGGTACTCCACATCGCTTGTCATCAGAGAAATGCAAATTAAAACCACAGTGAGATACCACCTCACACCAGTAAGGATGGCTACCATCCAAAAGACAACAAATGTTGCCGAGGTTGTGGAGAAAGGGGAACCCTCCTACACTGCTGGTGGGAATGTAAATTAGTTCAACCATTGTGGAAAACAGTATGGAGGTTCCTCAAAATAGAAATACCATTTGACCCAAGAATTCCACTTCTAGGAATTTACCCTAAGAATGCAGCAGCCCAGTTTGAAAAGGACAAATGCACCCCTATGTTTATTGCAGCACTATTTACAATAGCCAAGAAATGGAAGCAACCTAAGTGTCCATCAGTAGATGAATGGATAAAGATGTGGTACATATACACAATGGAATATCATTCAGCCATAAAAAACAAATCCTACCATTTGCTACATGGATGGAGCTAGAAGGTATTATGCTCAGTGAAATAAGCCAGGCAGAGAAAGACAAGTACCAAATGATTTCACTCACATGTGGAATATAAGAACAAAGAAAAACTGAAGGAACAAAACAGCAGCAGAATCACAGAACCCAAGAATGGACTAACAGTTACCAAAGGGAAAAGGACTGGGGATGGGTGGGGAGGGATAAGGGTGGGGAAGAAGAAAGGGGGCATTATGATTAGCATGTATAGTGTTGGGCGGGGCATGGGGAGGGCTGTACAACACAAAGACAGGTGATTGTACAGCATCTTGCTATGCTGATGGACAGTGACTGTAGTGGGGGGGGGGCTTGGTGATGGGGGAACCTGGTAAACATAGTGTTCTTCATGTAATTGTAGATTAACGATAGCAAGTAGCTACTAAAGTAAGGATACTGAAAACAATGAAAACAACGAAACCCAGCTAAATCCTAATAATCCAAAATAAATTAGGTGAACATATGTGGCCACTGGATGGCTTAAGACAACATAAACTTTTGCAAATTACCTTTGGTAGCTAAATAAATGGGTTTTTCTTCTTTTTTGAGCCTACCTAGGGAAGAAAAGAAGGGCTATCCAGACCCTAATCTAAGAACCTAGCACTGGTGTAAACAGTTCATTTGCACATAAATTTTATCAGGAGCCCATATTAGTGATACTAGACTACTCTCATCTGACCATTCCTTTCCTTTCCCAGGCTCATTTAATTACCATTCAATTGACAATGAGGGCTACATGCTATCCAGAAAACCCACCATCCTCAACTACACACGTTTCTGCTACTTCTAATTTCAACTCCTCCTCCACAATTCATAAATGGGAACTTCCTCTCTACAACATTAGCATTTCCACAAAGAATTAGCAGCCACTGGGATCTAAAAGAAAACAAAAGATAAATAATCCTTACACCTGAAAGGCCAAACGTTTATTTTCAAAAACAACTTTATTCATGACACATATTAAAAAAAAAAAACTCCCAACCCCTGCAAATGAGCTAAAAAAATAAACAAAATCCACCTCCCACCTCCCTGTTCCCACTTTCCCCATTCCCTCCAAATAAAAGGGAAAAAAAGGCAAAGGAAACAAAACAAAACAAAAAAACTGAAAAACAAAAAACACCCCCAAACCCCCAAAACAAGGTAGTGCATTTCCCCAAGGGAAAGGGGAATTTACACTGGAGCCGCTGGGAGCGGAACGGAGATCTTCCGGCTACAGAAACCTGCAAAGAAAGACACTCAAAACAGAAAAAGAAACACAAAAGGAAACAAAATAGATCACCAGGCAATCTGAAGGGGCAGGGAGCCAGAAAAGAGGGTTGGGGTGGGTGGCAGACCTGGTAAGACAGGAGCAGGCAGGAGGGGACTGTGAAAGTTAGGAAGAAGATGGAGGGAAGGTAACAAGCAGAACAGTTTGGTGTCCTTCCAGAGCCCTGGGTAAAAAAAAACCCTCCTACTATCCATGCCCACCTACCCTTGAGCAGCCCGCAACGGGGTGAAGTGGGACAGGGAGACGGGGAGCAGCTTGTGCAGTTGAGACGTGTCCATGGCGCATCCCCAGAGCAAATGAGCAGCCTCCACCCCACTCCCTGGGCCTTCCCCTACTCCCCAAAGCAGGTCCCTCCTCAGCAGTTAGTTATGGGATTCTCCCCCCTTCCACAGTATATCTTTTTTAAAAAATATTTTTTTTCCATCAAGGTCATCTTCTGTTTTTCTTTTTTTTTTTTTTAATTCTTTTTTTTTTTTCCTTCTTTCCTCTTTTTTTCCTCTCTTTCCTCCTAATACACACTTTTTTTAGTAAGGGGAATACCATGATGTCGCTCTAGCCCGGCCCCTGGAAGAAAGAAGGAGAGTTAGGAGTTAACATGATCACTAAGTAGTTCAGTACAAGCCCCTCCCCATGGGCCCTCGCCCCAGTTACTGTGAAGGGAAGGAGGGGAGAAAAGTTCCCAAGTGTCCTAAAACTGACCCTACAATCCTAGGAATAGTGACACACCTGGCAAATGGGAGGGGTTGGTTAACACAATATTCGCCAAATAGTGGCAATTAAGTTGTTCACTAGAGCCACTAGGGAGAGAAAGGGAACTCATTGTTTACCCAGTTTTTAACTTCTCCACAGTTCTTAAACCCTAGACCCTCACCAACAGATTCTAACTCCTGGAAGCAGACAGGTAAATCTTATGAAAAGCCAAGGTTTATATACATGCCTAAGCTGTCTATTCAAATCTAAGAGATGGAAGTAAAATAAAACAATGGCATGGGCACCACACCAGGCCCATGAGAAAGTTAACCCTGAAGAAGACTGGCTCAATTAGAGAGTAAATCTCTCAGTATCCTCCTACATAGCAGTTGAGCAACTGGTCTCTGGTATTCCTCCAAGGGAGATTGAAACTCCAACTGTCTAACTCTAAGAAAAGTGGCAAATGTCCAAGCAGTGCCTTCACTAGCCTGAGTCCCTGTTCTTCCCCGCCTTCTGTGTAAACAAACACCTTCACTGCCACCAACTCTGAAGGAGAAAAAGCTGGCGGGGGGGGTGGGGGGGGGAGCATCTCTCAGAACAGAGTGGAAGGATCCAGCCTTTACCACAATTCCTGCTCCAGAAAAAGATGAGACTGGCCACCTGGCCTGGCCTGCAACTACCTTCCTCACCCTGCACAGGCAGGAGAACACGTCCCTGGAGACCAAGGGGAGGGTAAGGGAGGGAGGTTCCTCAGATCAGGAGAGAAGGAAACATACAGGGCTCATGGGAGGCGGGGAAGAGGAGCAGCCCATCTATCCTGACCTGTAGACGCGACCCCGGGGCCTGCTGTTAAAACCACTGTAGAATCGAGAACGGGAACTGTTGTAGTTGGTGGTCCGGGCACGGTATCGGGCTCGTGGGAAACCCCGGTCTGTCGTGCTGATGCCTGGTCTGTTGGTTCGTTTTGGGATCACCTGAGAGTGAAGGATGTACAACAGAAAGCCTCAGAGTCAACCTGGCAAGCTCACACAGAACCAGAACAGTGATGGGCATGGGGCTTACCTTAATCTGTCTTCCTCTAAATAAAGACTCATCCAAGGCCAAGGAAGTCCTCACTGACTCTTTGTCTGAGAACTCTATATATGCAAACCTGAGAAGAATAATTGTCACCTTACCTATCCAAATTGCAAACAGTGGCTCACAGGTCAAACCCAACTTGCAAGTATGCTTTACGTCAGCACAAAGTGTACACGTTTTTTTTCCTATTGTCAAAAATTGTGTAAATGCAAGATTTAAATTAAAATGTCCAGCTACTCTTGGAAAATTATAAAATAAGACACAGGGCCGGGATTTCCATATGGTGAACCAGCCAGAGCCAAGCAGAAGTGGTCCCTCCCCTCAAGTTCATGATTCCTACCTACACCTAGACCTCATCTTTGTTATCTATCTGGCCTCTGAAGGAATTTATATGCAATATATATCAACATCAATGCCCTATCTTAAGACAAAGATCTCTTGTTTAAACAATAAATTAACTTACTGTTCAATATAAAACACAATTTATCTATTTTAAAACTGATTAAAACGACCTCAACTTACTTCCCTACTTACCCTTTGGGATGGCCACTAAATTTGTCACAGAGTATGGTAACACGGTTGACTGAACCACAGCCATGAAAGTGTGCTTCCAGCTCTTCTGCTGTTGCACCATAGTCCACCTGTGGAGGCGTGTGGGGCGGTACATTTCACAGGTACCAGGCAAACGCCCATCTCAACAGGTATCCTGCCTAGCCTTTGGGTTGAGCCACCCATGCACACCCAGGTACATCAAATCTGGTTCTCTAAGGAACTAATCTCTTTTCTTTCCAACCCCAGAATCTCTATTGATCACCATTACCTTTTACCTCCTCCCAACCCTCCCTCCACTCCCCAAATCCTATCCTTGAGATGGTCAAGATTCCTATTAAGTAACACCTTACCCTAATTCCAATCACAGCCCTAGTACATACATTGCCAACATAGATGGAACGAGCATCAGCCTCCATCTTCTCTTCAATGGACATGATCACTGGGCCAGCTTTGAAGAAAAAAAATCAGAAAAAAAGTACTTGTTTCTATTTAATCAATATATGTACCACTACCACTAATTTTACTACCACCACTACTAGGTAAACACTTTGTTCTGCTCCTTACCAAGAATAGTGTCTAGCACACAGTAGATGCTAAGTATTTGCCAAATTAGATTAATACATTCTTAAAAATCAAAGGAAACAGTACAGAATCCCCTTCCTGCCTCCAAATCCAGTCCATATGAAGTAGCTATGGTTGAAATGATTTGAAAAGTGAACACAATAAGTGGGCTGAGACTCGACGTTTCTAGATTAAAGGGGAAGCGCCCTACAGCTGAGCAGTTTCTCTTAGGAGTCCTAAATATAGGGTCTCCAATTGAATGAAAAACTATTAAACTTGAAGGTCAAATGCCAGCTGGCAACCTCCACAAAGGCTAGAGGTAACTAAGAACAAAGGGCAACACATTTGTAACAGCGACAAAGGCACAAGATTACCAACACCAAAACAGGTCTGTCTCACAAAGGTCAGAGGAACATACAATGGACTGTGACCGCGGCACCTGTCCAGTAATTAACTGCTCAGACAAGCGGCGCCAAGGTCCCAAGCATCTAATCCCATATAACCCGGGCTTCCACAACCCTTCCAGTCTGCGGAACCGGGCTCCGCGTGCAATAGCCAGTTAGTTACTCACCATTGCCTGGAGGTGGACTCATATTCATCTGCTTCTCTACCTCGTTCTGTAGCTCCTTTAGCTTCTCAGCTTCTTCCTCCATCTCCCTGACTCGTGCTTTGATCGCTTCCAGCTCCTACAATGAGTGGAGTATGGAGAAGAGCGTAAGAGGAACCAACGCAGCAGGGGCTGTGCCCTGCTGTCGGGACGTGCACGGCTGCAGCCATGCTCGGCCATTTCCCTCTTCCCACGCGGGAGTCACGATGAAAAAAAAAGCGAGCCACCTTCTCTAGAACACTAGGCACCCATGACGCCCGTATCGGCCCGCCCGGACCCCCTCAGGCGGTCGAAGATCTGCCCCAGGCCCGACCCAGCCATGTTATTCCCCGCCCACCCCCATCCCCCGCCTGCCTCCGGTTCGCCCGAGCTTCGGGCCTCCCGTGACCCAGCCGGCCCAGCTCGCTCGCCCTCGTTCCCTCACCGGGTCCTCAATGGCGCCGTCCCCCGGGTCACCCTCTACCAGTCCGGGCTCCTCCTCCTCCTCCTGGCTGCCGGGAGCCCCCGAGCCAGGCCCAGGGCCCGGAGCTCCCGGGGGGGCGCGGGGTCGGGGCGGTTCCTCTTCGGGCTCGGGCTCCGGCTCAGGCTCCAGCAGCAGCTCCTCAGGCTCCAGTTCCTCAGACTCCAGGCCGTTCCCGTACTCCCCTGCGCCCCCCGGGGCCCCCTCCCCGGCCTCCCCACCGGGCCCGGGCACAAGATGGCGCCGCCGCCCCGGCCCGGAGCCCCGACCGCCCGCAGCCCCCGCTGCCGCTGCCGCCGCCGCCGCCGCCGCCATCGCCGCTCAGACTGGGGCCCGCCGCCCGGCGATTGGAGAGCTGCGCCGGCCACGCCGAGGATTCATTAGTCAGACAGCCTGCCCGTTACCAAGAGCTAGAACACCATTGGGGAATATCACTTGGCAATCAAATAAGACCCCACCTCTAGGGCGGGGTATTGCGCCAAATTCTCAAATCCAGGTAGGGGACATCGGTCTGTCAATCAACACATGCCCTCCGCCACTCAAGTCTTTAGGTAACAATACCGCCACGCTGTGACGACATCCCCGCTTCTCTGCCGCCTTCCGGCCGGTCCGCAAACTATATGACGCTCGGTGATTGGACACTGGCTAAGCGAGTGGAAGGGACCAATCTCCTGATCGACTCGCCGCAGTGGCCCAGCCTCAAATGCGGATTGGCTTGCGAAATTCGAAGGGCTGACACGGATTCGTGACAGGTGAACCTTGTCCTACAACGGACTGCCGGGCCTCTAGCAAGGGAAATCCACGGTCACATGACTAGTCCTCAGGGGGCCGCCATCTTGATAATACTGGTTGCTAGCCAGTGAAATGTTGGAAGGCACAAGCCGGAAGCATTTCGGCGGTTTCTGTAAACTGGTCTCCTGACGAGAACACCAGTAGATGGGATGTTCCTGGAAGTGGAGCGCTCAGAATGGAGCTCTCCAGGAGGAAGCTAACTTTCCCATCCAGTTATTGGCACCACCATCCACTAGGTTTCCCACTCCGAAAAGCATAGAGAAATCCTCCCTCCAGAGCTATCAGTCCCTAGTCCTGTCCCTTCTGTCTTCGTGCACAGGCATACTGTCCAAGCCTCTGCTCATGCCCGTTTCAGCTTGTTTTCTCTGTTGGGACTGTTTGCTACAGCCTCCTAATAGGTTTGTCAGTATCCAGTGTCACCCCTTCGATCCTCACCACTACCAGCTGGCTTCCGTCTGCTGGCCAGTTAAAAATCTCAGTCTTTACTGCGGCCACAGAGACCTCAGGGCCAGGCTACTTCACGAATGTTATGTCCACACTCGTCGTTGCACTGAGTGTATGTACCCACGTCTGTGCCTCTGTGTATGCAGCCTCCCTACGACCAGACTACTGCGAACTCCCAGCATCACCTTTTCTCCTGGGGATCCTTTACTAGCCTCCCCTCCTCTCCAAAGACAAGCGTACCTACTTCCACTATGTGTTTACTCGTTTTGTGCTGCGTTTCTTAACTAGTTTGTGAGAGTTTGGAGATGAGAGACTAGATCCTATTTATATTTGTAGCTCCACAGTGGGGCAATATGCCTAGCACATAGTAAGTGTCCAATAAATGTCTGGATGCACTAATTAAGATCTGGGTACCCCCCTTCATCTTCAGCGCTTTCCCAGCCCTGAAACCCTCCTTCAGACCCAGGAAGAGTTTCTCCATGCAGGTTGTCATCACACCTCTGCACTTTTGCGATATCAACTAGACCTAGCCCTGGAAGGCAGGATTGCCGTATTTTAGTAGTGATGCTACACATTTATTAAAAAGGAACGGCAGTGCTAAGTTTTCAAGAGGTCATCTGTAGCCAGAGCAAGCTATGGTTTGTAAGCCAGATTCACATAAGCCCATACAAATACCAAACAACCCCAACAGGATATTTATGGCTGGGGCAAGGGGATTTGGACAAGAAAAGATCCCTATGAGCAAACCAAGAAGGCAAAAAAAACCCTTTCTCAGTGTACCCCACTTTTCCCCTCACCCTTTTCCCACAAATCCTTACCTCAGAAACGGGAACTTGGAGTAGAATCACAGTTGCTTAAAATCTCACTGAAAATTACTTCATCAGCCCTCTCTGCTTCAGTGGTCTGAGAGACACCAAAGACAAACTGAGTTCTCTGGAAGAAGTATTTTCTACTGATCTCAGCCCAATCAAGCCTTCGATGTTTTAATGGTATGTAATTTAAATAAGCAAGCCAATTAAGGGAAATGTGTTTTAATAATGCCTTTGAATCCTATTTTGTTGAGCACTTGACTTTGCAACAGGCACTACCCTAGATTCATTATTATTTCATTGAATTCTTAGAGCAACCCTATGAAGTATTTCCAAAACATAACCTTTTTTAGGGCCAAGGAAAGAGTGAAGTAGCTTGTCCAAGTCATGGAACTAATTAGAAGTGATCAGGGAATTTAAAGCCAGCTTTCAAAGTACAGATCAAAATTACTATAATATACCAAAATTACATCATGTATGATTGAAACTGGAAAAAGATTAAATTCCAACAATAGACAAATGTTTAACAAACTATAATTACAGGCAAGGATTATTATGCACCTATTAAAAGGTTTACACATAGCATGATAATATGCAAAAATAATTTTTGCTAGGCCAAAGTAGAATATGAAATTGTATATAAAATACGATTACAACTATGTATATCTAATTTTTCAACAAAAAACAACTGGGGCATTGGGGGATAAAAGGAACAAGAACTAGTAGGCTTTTCTTTGGCAGTATGTACTAAAAGCTTTTAAAATGGTAAGCTTAACACAATAATTGTATTTATTGTAATGTGCTCTGAAGAAATACTCTAAAACTGGATAAATGTTTAAGAATATGTTCATTAAAGTGCAAAAAATGTAAACAACTTGAATGTCCAAATGCACATTCAGGAAAATTACTATACACACACAGATATAATTTTATATAGTCATTAAGCCTTCAAAAGATTTTTAATGACAAGGAAAAATGTTCGCAATATAATGGTAAGCAGAATTTCAGTATACAAAATTGTATATACAGTATGATCATAAAATAAAAGCATAGATAAGACAGTTAAAAGTAGCCAAAATGTTAAAATAGTGGTTCTCTCTGTGTAATAGGATTATGATCAATCTTCTTTATAATATGCCCTATGATTTTCCACAATATCACATATTACCTTATTTTAAATTAAAACTCCAACTTCCAAACTTGCTCTAATAAGCAGGATTACTTTTAAAAACCAACCATTGAAAAAGATATTTGAATGGTGACTTGTAAAGACACTTCCCAATTAAACTATCGAAGACAGTGACACCATATTAATTATAGCTGGCCCTTGAACAATGTGGGGTTTAGGGGTGGAAAACCCCATATATGTATATAGTATACATATATATCTCTATATATGTATTATATATATTCTTAAAGCTAGAAAAAAGAAATGTTTTTCTCAAGTTGTGGCAAATCTCCAAAAAATTTTCCCAAATATTTATTGAATAAAATTGCCTATCACTGTGTGTTCAATAACTGCTGAATAATCCTCCATAATAAACTTACTCAGTATCTTGCCTGCTGTTGATGCAGAGAACATCAAAGAGGTTGTTTCCCTGTGAGAATGAATTTTTTAGAAATGAGTACGTAATGAAGTGAGATTCAGTCATGAATATAATTTTCCTTTAGTAATAACCAATCACTAGAAGGCCATGGAATTTTAGGATAACTGAAACTCAGTGATGTGCCCTAGAGAAAAGAAAAATGTGTTAACAGAAGTGCATGGTTAGCAGAGTTGAAAAAAGAAAAATCAAATCAGTAAAAATGGATATGGGCATCTCTAGTTCTGTCCAGAGTGAAAAATTTTCCCACTAAAAAACAAATACGTAGCTTCTCAATAGTTTCATTACTATTTTTGACTCTTGCTTTGAAATTTTTACCAGCTATCATAATTCTCTGTAATAGAACTACATTGTTTAATACAGTAGCCATTAGTCACACATCTTGAGTACTTGAAATGTGAGTAGTCCAAATTGAGATGTGCTGAAAGTTGTTGAATATACACCAAATTTCAAAAACTTAGTATGAAGGAGATTGTAAACTCAATAATTGTTTAATATTAATTACCAGTTGAAATTAAAAGTTTTTATATACTGGGTTAAGTAAAAAATTATTAAAAATTAGCTTTACCTGTTGCATTTTGCTTTGTTAATGAGGCTACTAGAAAATGCAAAATTACATTATGTGCCTTGCATTGTATTTCTGATGGATGGTGCTGATATGGAACCTTGGAGCATTGGTCATTTACTTACCTCTATTTTGGAGCAGACTCCAATTATTATCTAATGCAAAGTCTGGTCCCACATTCAACTCCCTATGTCTGCCCTTGCAAGGAAGTGGGATGGCCATTTAAATGACAAGAAACCTCTGCTGTGCTGCTTACTTTCCATTTTGCTTGGCTACCTTTTTAAAAACTTTGTACCTGGAAAACTTGCTTTAATGTACAGAAACGTGTTCTTTATTTAAAAAGAAAATCAGAAAATACAAAAGACCAAAATAACATCACCCATAAAATCCACCACCCAGAGATAATCACTAATGATATTTTGGCATATACCCTTCATGACATTTACAATACACAAATACATACAGAGATACACACACACGTGTGTGTGTGTGTATATACATATATATGCATATATGTATTTGAGCAAAATGGGATCATACTGTATATACTATTTTCTTTTTTTACCCAGTAAGATATAGAAACATCTTTCCATATCAATAAAGATATTTTCCCAATTTCATTTTTCATGACCATATTTCTAAGTTGACTAACTAAGAAGTCAACTTAGAAAGAAGAGCTTCCCTGACCTTAACAATAAAATCTATACATACACCTTCCCAATCCTGCCCTAATGAATTGTTTTTCTTCATGGCATTTATCACCTTCTAACATGAAATGTAAATGAATGTTGTGAAATGAATTTAGTAAGTTAGTTTATTAGTTTTTGTTTCCCTTATAGAATGTTAAGTAACACGAGGGCAAAAATTTGTGTTCACTTCTCTACCTCAGTGTTTAGAACTGTTTGGCACAGTTTCTGCATGAATGAATGACTGAATGAATAAAGAACTACATAGCACTCCATTATATCATATTTTCTGGTTGATTTTTAAAATACTGTTATTTTATTTATACCTTGTCTATGTCCACATTTAAGGCAGCTTTTAAAGTTTTCAAAGCTTTTAAGTTGCAACACAGAATATCTACAATCCATCCATTTGCTAGAAATTCAAAATGTTGCCCAACTTTTATCAAAAATTCCCTTTGGAGAAATAACATTCAGGGAGAATTGTGTGAAGGATTAACAATCCATCAGTGTTTTCAAGTAGTCAGAAATTTAACCCTATATTAAATTATAGCATCATAGAGCATATGTGGGCTAAATTGTGGTTAAGCCTGATGGACTTACTGAATCCCCATTTGGGTTTTCTTTAAGAAACTGGTGCAAAACAGTACCGCATTAGCTGTCAGGTGTTACAGACGGTGGTATCCACTATAACACCTCAGAAGAGCCACGAAACTTTTGGCCCATCTTGAGGAACCTGTAGGCTTTTACAAATCCTAACAGGAATGTGAATCTCATTGCTTCTTTTCAATTTGCTTTAGCTGACAAAAAGCTCAAGGCTGAATTCATAGCCTAGCTTTAGTATTTGGGAATACCCTTATAGAATTCTTTTCTGTGCATGAATTTTCCTTTTGCTATCATCTTGTTGTACTATTTCAATTTACCGTTTACCCCTACTTTAAAAATGTGTTATTTTCTATTGTTTTGTCTTTTGTGTTTTATAGTAAGATCTTGCAGATGTTTTTGGGGACTAGGCAAATATAAACCAATCAAACATTAAATCAGTCACACTACAGTGGAGATAAATGCACTCACTAGCTATCATAGCCTGATTACATTAACCATTAAGAGCATCTAATTCCCCTTCTCCAACTGCCATGTTCTCCACACCACTCTCTGAGTATGGCTTGCCCTGTAGATTTTTCTCTAGGGAATAGAAATGCAACATCAGATTCTTCTCAACAGTACATTTCCACTACAATTTAACACATCTTATTGCCCTGGACTACGAAAAGACTAGCTATGCCTGCTTGTAATTTAAAATTAGGACCACATTTCCTGTCAGACACAATTTTCATGTGGTCCTGGACTACAAGCACAGAGGGATAGGCTGAATAATTCCTGTAGATTCCATCCAAGTTAGCAGTTTGCATTAAAATGGCTGTAACCAAATGCCTTAGGAGACCAGGAAAGGAAGCCGAGCCTCCATGTCTGCCAGACTATTTTAAGTCTGAAGTAAGTGGGGAGAAATGCTTATCATACACTTCAGGTTAGAAGCTGAACCACAACTAGGGACTTGATTACCATCACACAAAGATTCTAGGTAGGTGTTCTTTGTTTGGTTTTTGTTTGTAGCCATCCCGAAGTCAAACATACACATACCCTCATAAGGCTTGGGGGTGGCAGAGATGGGTTCTCGGCTTTGGGCATTTGGCCAGGGTACGGGACAGGGGAACAACTCTGATTTTATTTTCTTCTTTAAATCTCAACACTTTCCCAAATTCCCGTTATTCTAATTCTTGCCCTTAACACGGTCATTATGAGATGATTGGATCCAGAAACGTCCTGACCCAGGCTATATATACAGTGTAGAAGTCACAAACCCTGCTCAGTCCTTCTCATTAAACTTCTGGACTTTATTTATTTATTTTTAATACGACCATTACATATTACACAAAAATAAAAGTCAAATGAAGTTGGTATTTATAAATTATTAAATAAAAATACAGGAATATATATTTATATTTATAGAGCTTTTTCTTCTAAACTAACCAATCTGTTCTCTCGCCATTTTATGATTTAAAAAAGTAAAATAGTGTATGTCCTAGAATAAGTGGAGAGTGGGATTAATAATTGCAGGACCTAGTTGCCCTCCTTCTGCTCCTTCCTTGGCCTAAGCAAAGTCCCTATTTGTCCCTTTGGGCTCTAGAGAGCAAGAAACACCCTCACCACCTATTTAATTTCTGGAAAATGGCAATTAGATTTATTTCCCTAATTTAAAAAAAAATGAAATGGATTTAAAAATTGGGAGCCATACTCAGCCTTCTTGGCCATGAGCTAACCCCAAGGAACTATATGGCTCTAGAAGAGAGTCTCTAGTTTTCCCTGACAGAAGAGTCTTGGGTTTCCACTGCCCTTCAAGCTAAGAAGGGCAGGACAGGTCAAAACTGTACAGCCCACTATAGTCCCATCCAAACTTTGCTTCTGGAAATCCAGACCAAGCCCTTTACCCTTTCAGAAAACAGTCTCTCCTTTTACCCTGGTGTGAAGGCCTTGGAGCAGGGCATTTCAGTAACCTGACCACGGTCCCTGCTGCCCCTGTTTGCTAAAGGCCCCTAGGAGAGCTAATAGGGACAGGTATCCTGTGGTAGAGGGTAGGGTGAAGAGTCTACCCCAACCTGGGGGAGCACAGACTCCAATTTGGAGCTCATGGTCTAGTCTAGTCAGTGGTTTTCCAACTTTTTTTTCAGCAGCAAACCCCTTAATTCAAATAAAATCTTACCCTGAACCCCGATATGTAAGATAGCTACAAGGGTAGCTGTTCTGTTTGAGGGCAGGCAGCCTAGCCCAGCCTGCTCAGTGCCCTCCACCCCCACTTCCTCTCCCACAAGGGGCTCCTGAGGCAACACCTAGGAAACTTGGGGGTTCCGCCAAACGGTTTGAAAACCACTGGCCTAGTGTCCTGAGCAAGTCAGAGACCCCCCCACCCACCCCAACTGCCTGCCACAGACCAGCTCTGAGTTTCCGGTATCAGCATACTCACTACAGACCAAGTGGCGCATGCAGTCTACCTACCTCCCCTATAAATACCATTACAAAGTGCAGCCCTCTCTCCAAGCAAAAGTCTGGGCTAAACACCTGAGGCCAATTTTGGTCCCACATTCTTGAGTACAACTATGTTGCCACATTCTGGGACCAAGTGAAAATCTCCAAGAAGAGTCAACCCCAGTCTAGCTAAGCTGATCAGTGCTCAGGATCAAGGGCGGTTCTAGAGCACTGTCTGAAGTTACCACCGGAGAGCAGCAATTTTAGCACCTTGGAAAGTGCAGCAGTGAGGTCTGGCTCAGGGCATGCATCTGGAGTGAAATCATTTCTCAAAAGAAAAAATCATCTGAATCTGCTCTAGAGGACTGTGCGCTCGCCCCAAAGTCAACATCCTCAGACTCTGAGGTACAGACAAATAACACCCATGCAAACAGTAGGGCTTCAAAGAAATATAAATGCTTCTAGGTCATAGTAGGTCCTCTAGAACCCATACACCTGGCCCTTGATAAAGCAGCACCAAAGCCTATCACATGGAATAGGCCAGTCATGTATTACATGTCACCTTCACACCCACAGGGTTCAGAGCTGGAATGTTGTTCTCAAGGCATCAACAGTCTTACTGAGACACAGTACATGACCCAGACTGTCTTCTAGATCAGCATTTATGTCCACAACCTCAAAAGGAAAATTAGAGCCCCAATTTAAGAATTTAAGTTTAGGCATAGAAGGTCCCAGAGACAGGGAACAAATTTTTAGGCACCAGTGCACTCCAGTGGGAGATGAGGGTGGCAGGCAGGTCCAGCTACCAAAGCCTCCACCCACCGCAGGCTCTGCAGCCCTGCCATCCTGTCAGAGCCCAGGAGGCAGCAGCAAGTGCTTGATGCAACACACAGGGAAGGGGGATGATGAAGGAACAAGGCCAGCTACAGAATTGCTCTTCTCTCTAAAGAACTGCTAACCACTTCCGGCAGAGAAATGCCCAGAGCCCTCCGTCTGGATACAGTGTTTCTCCCTTGGCCTTGAGGAATTGGAACAAGGGAAATGGGAAGAAGGGGGTTAGGAGGAGGGGCAGAGAACTGCTCCTTTGTTCTTGCCACTGCAAGAGGGAATGTTTTCTTCTTTAAGAATCCCACCATCACCAGATTAGACAAAGGTCCAGCATGCACACGAATATATGTGTGTGCGAGCAGCCCACTGTCACAGCTACCTCTATCACCCAAGAACCTCCATTTTCCATTCCAAAGGCATGTACCTTCTGTGTTTTCCCCAAATCCCACTCTTCCAATGGAGATGAAACCCCTTATGCAAGTCCACCGTCCTCACGGCTGCAAATCAAGCTATGGGTATTCCACGTGCCTACACCTACAAGCATGATCCCTCCCACCTCCCCCCAGCCCTGGAACAGGACTCCATCTCCCAGCCCCTGACTTTCCAAATACATTCCCTGATGTCTCCAGCTCATTCTTCCAACTGCCTGCCTGGCACAGTCAGCTCCCTCACACACTACCCTGCCCCTTCCCAGCCCCATTCCGTGCCCATCCATTCACCCAACTTCTGTCAAGGGCATTTCTCTGTTCTGTTCCTGCTCTCCCATCTCCCAGCCACACTTAGCCCCACCTAGCCCTGGACTTTCTCACTTGCTAGCAAAAAAGGCCCCTACAGTTACCAGGGCCCCCAGTGCCACGGCCCCTGTCAGCACTGTCCTCACTGAGGCCCAGTTCCCCTCCCGCAGACGCCGAGCCTCCTCCAGGGCCCCGTCCCCGTACAGAGCTGTGAACTCCGCCTGTGGGAGAGAGGGGAAGTAGGAGAGAAAGAGGGAGAAAGGGATGTCAGGAGAGGAAAGAGTGGAGAAAAGAGGAGAGGGAGAGTTCCAGTTCCATCCACTGCAAGCACTGCCCCATACCCAGCTCCTCTCTGGCCAAAGCTCCTTTGGCTGCAAGCCCCTTGGGTCCCCCAGGAGCATCCGGCTCATTTGTCCTCTCTGCCTCAAGTGAGTCCCATCCTGTCCTTGGCCAAACCTTTTGCTGAGAACTGGCATCCTCTGTCAAGGCTTGCTGACTCCCAGTCATGCCTGACACCACCCCCGCCCCCATGCCACGTGCTCAGCTGTCAAAGTCCCTGAAAGTTGGAGGCCATTCCCCCACTGCCCCCAGGCACTCTCTGGTTACTATGTATCCCATCCTTTGCTTTGGACCATGAGCCCATCCAGGCAAGGCAGCCCTGGAGTGCAGAGTCCCGACTTCTGTCAAGGGCATTTCTCTGTTATGTTCCTGCTCTCCCATCCCCCGGCCACACTTAGCCCCACCTGGCCCTGGACTTTTCTCACATGCTAGCAAAAAAGGGCTCTACAGTTAGCAGGGCCCCCCGTAACTGGTACCCTTACTGGTGACTGTAGTGAAGGTATCTGATTACACCCAAAGAGGGAGACTCAGCCCCCATGCCTCGTTCCCAGCACAGCTGCCCCCAGCCAGAGCACCCCATCTTCCCCCTAGAGACCAGCTTTGTGGAGGGATGTACAGAGCAGCAACTGAGAAGCTTCTTACCCAGCCCCCACTGCTGTGGATCCAGTCAGCCAGCCGCGTCTCCAGGTAGGCCACCATCCACTGCTGCACTTGTCCTACAAGTGGCTCCATCTCCTTGTTGACACTCTCGGCACACAGTGCAGCTCCAAAGACAAAGAAGGCCACAAGACGGCCCCAATTGGGGCCCCCTTGGAAGAGTTCATCAGAGACCTGGGTGAAGCGTTGCTGGGCTGAGCCCGGGGTCACGTGCAGCTGGGCTGCCAGATCAGAGAAGGTTCGCCGGAAGCGGGTCTCGAACTCATCTCCAGCTGCCCGCATGGCTTGGTGCAACGGGTCAGCTGCTGGGCCCTCCCCAGGGCCAGCTCCACAAACATAACCTTTCTGCCTCAGCTTATAGCCTACAAAGTCTGCCACTAGAGCCCGTGTGTCTGGGGCCGAGGCTGGGGTCGCCATCTGGGCGGCTGTAAGAGTCAAGGATGAAAGACTGACGTGAATAAATGGTCAGAGACCCAGAAGGGGCATTTCAGGCTTGGCCAAGGCAGTGAGACGGGAAGGGAGGTGGGAGGAAATGTTCAGAGATCTCGGGGCAGGGAGGGGCAGAAATTAAGTCAAGGTGGGAAGCCAGGGCATGAGGGGCTAGCCTTTAATTTCCTAATATAACAAATTCAATGTAAAACAAGCAAATTTTTATTTTTAAAATACTTCAGATTCTGCCATAATAAAACCACACCAGCTCTATGACACCCTTACAACCTCCTCTCTACAGTATATACCTTTTTGGCTAGAGGAAGGGGCTTAGGACCTCCCCAGAGGCAAGATATGAAGATGCTGGCAGAGGCACAAGATGGGGAAGGAGACAGGGACTAAGGGAAAAGTGGGAGAAGCAAAGGGTAGTACAGGACAGAGAAAGAAGGGGACACTCACCCAGCCTGGATAGCAGCTCTTAGGACCCAGCGCTGGTGGCAAAGAGCCCCCAGCTGGGGCCTTTCATCCTCCTGGCCAGCGTGGAGCCCTGGGAAGGGGAGGGGGAGAACAGAGCTACGCGGGAAAGGCCAGGGATCAGGGTCTGGGCTGAGAAGGACTGGGATTTCAGCTCCTGGGACCGGCCCCTGCCCCCAACGCTCTACCAGCTGTGTGGCCGAATCCATGTTTAATGATTGTCCTCCCGGGAAATCCAGGGCCAAGGGCTTCCTGCCGATTGCGATACCATCTCTAGTCCAGGCTCCCCCCAGTGCAGCCCAAGGGCCCAGCTCCTCCCTCACTCCCACCCTCAGCCAGTTTCCAACCCCGCCTGCCTGCCAGGTTAGGGATCTCACGGGTCGGGCCTCTGCCGGGATCCGGGCCGTTTCCTGGTGCAGGAGCTGGGAGGGAGGGAGAGAGGGAGGAAGGGAGGGAAGGAAGGAGGGAGGAGAAAAGGGGGGGCGGGAGGGAGGACCCGGCGCCGGGTGATGATGGGGCCCAGAGATGCGTCCAGAGAGGGGCGGGGCTGGGACACGGCCTTGGGAAGGGCCACAACTCAGGAAGAGAGAGGGACGCTGGAGGCCTAGAAGAGCTGAGCGGAGAGGGCCTGGAGGTCTGGGCTGGGCTCCTGAGCCTGGAGGCTGCCCAGAGAAGTTGGCTAGGCCTCAGGAACCTCGGAGCAAATCCAGCATTTCCAGAACGTTCCTAATCTTCCATGCACTTTTTGAACTTTTCCAGCCCGGGAATGGGTACCTGGAAAAGAAGAGCGGTTCCCATTCTGGTGGGAACCGCCTGTCAGGAGCCTCACCCTGAGGAACTGGCGGGCACACATCACACACACACACACACACACCCCACCAAATATTTCACACACAC